TATATCTGCATATGAATAAGGCAACAAAACAGAAAAAAACCCACCTCCTTGATGAGATCGAATTCCGTGAAAGTTAGGCGGAAAACCTGATTTCGCTGTGTCTGAACGAGCTTCCAGACGCATTGGCTGCTCGAAGACTCCACCGGAGAAAGGGGCTCACCCGTAACACCAGTAAGAAGCATCCGGCATAGAACTAAAAAATCGTTTGATAATATGTGTCAAATTCAGGGGGATCAGGATAGGCTATCTAAGCATCCTGCGTCAAAACACAGAGGACTGGTACAGTTTGGTTACCAATTTAAGCGAACATGCGAGTCCCAGGAAGCAATTGAGAAGAAGTCCCAGCTATCGAGTCTTCTTCTTTTTCTTCTTCTTCTTCGTTTCAAAAGTTTGGGTTAACAACTTTATAGTTATGGGAGGTAATCCCCTGTGCGGGTTTACTGCTTTTTTCTTATATCTTATAAATATCATTAATATTTTGATACCTTACGTTATGCGAAATGTTTTTTTATCTAGGTTTTTGGCATTTAAATGTACTTCACTCAATGAAAGTGGTTGTTGTTTATTCTTGTATCGTATTGAGCATAATTTCATTGTTGTCAGGCCTTTACATTTATGTGGTAATAAACTTAATATACTAAGCGGGTTGGTGGAATAATAGTACGGTTGTCCGGGAAGATGGGAGAGGAATCGGGTTCAAATATCTGCTCAGCGTTAGGGGCGACTCTAAGGCGAGAGAGGTGATAAGCTGCGGACTGTTTGATTAGCGGCTTTCGGCCATGGTGTTAGCGGCACCACGACGAAGTTCTTTGGGGCGCACAAGACCCGTTGGCGTAGCCCTTCCCTAACCATGCTGGAATGTGTTCCACTCTTTTGGACACATTCTAGCAGGCTACGGCAGACGTGGCCGCCATCAAGTTACGCCGACCGGTATTGTGAGCCCAAAAGAACTTCGTCGCGGCGCCGCTATCACCATAGCTGAAAGCCGCTAATCCAACAGCCCGCAGCTCATTACCTCTCTCGGCTACCAGCTGTTCCGATTCCCCGCTTACCCTGACAACCGCACTATTCTTTCTACCAACCCGCATAATATATTTAGTTAATTACCATTAAGAAGTAAAGAGCCTGGCGAGAATTTATGGAAAACAAACGCATGTTTGCTATTTTATCTTCGGACATTTTCAACGGGAATTTTCGCAAATATAATTTCATTGTTATATAAACGCCAAGGAGAATGAACTTGTTAGAGG